AGGTGTAAACATTTAATCGTAATCAATAACCGCAATTACAATTTCAAAGGAATAATCGACAATTATGATTTTTGTCATAATTGTGCAGCCCTACATCAGGCTGTGTATGTATGAATTACCACCGTTTTTCCACGTTTCTCTATTAACAGTGAAGCTGTGGCTTTAATTCCTTTAGAAACAATGATGTTACCAGCTTCTGGTTGAGAAAGATAATGTATCTTTTGAGTGATTAAGCTATTTTATTGATAAAATTGCGGGGCAGCGCTAAAAAGTTTGTGTTGCTGAATGTATGTGCGCGCACACAACATGATCTGTTTGAGTGACTGAACGCGTGCAAGTTAGATACAGTGAAGACAACGCATTAGTTTAGAACTCTTCAAATTTTTATTTTTTTTAAATGTAGAAAATGTGTTAATTTGTGCTAGGTTAAATAATGATAACCTACCAGCAATGTAAAGATATTTTTTTTTTATATATTAGTATGATTATTGAGTCCATTACAATATAAATTTATTAGAACGAGTGCATTATTATTTATGGGCTTAAAAACCAGATGTAAACAATCAGAATATTGTACCTGGTGGGGAGTGCCCAATGTAAACATGAAACATATGCCACTACCTATATTGTACTGTGGTACAGTTATGGAGGCCCTTCATAATGCAGAGGTCAGCTGCCTGCTCTGCCAATAGTTAGAATTGGCCCTATAGTATGCAGTGTTTAATAAACAGCTGTTTTACTAAATTCTGCTGAGGTGAAATTCAGTGCAGTCCTGCATCATACGTATCGTATCGTGACATCTGTATCGTGATACATATCGTAATATCGTGACTTTGCTGGTGATACACAGCCCTAGAACAAACCACGTTTGATGCCATTGAATACCTAGCCCTATGACATCAGATTAATTTTCCATTGAGGCAGCAAAACAACTAAACTCTGTTATGTCTAACAAACACCCCCTTAGTAAGCTCTACCTTGCTTAACACACTGTATTTTCTGTTTACTTCATGCTACCCAATCGTCCTCACATGAGGTAATAAAGTAAAGCAGACTTGCTGCTTGCTATGTAGTCAGTACCGTGGTAAACGGCATAGCAAAGTCACTACCAGGTGAAACTTTTCTGCTGTCGCACTTTGTAAATATATATATATATATAAAAAAATTTTTTAAAACACATGCCACCCATCCCTTGCGGGCAAAAAGCGCTTATAAAATGAAGGACTTCCCAAGAGACATCTGATGCTGTGATTCAAAACTCACAAGAAAGCAGAAGCAAAGCAAACTTTTGCAACAGGAAAAGAGAGAAGGCAGAGATTACATCGCCTGAAGATGAAGACAGAAGGCCACACACAAAGTGGTCTTGTTCATAACAGTGGTCATCACATGATGTTCAAGAGACTGTTCAGCGTCAACACTCCAGGCTGGCTGGATCACACAGGCTGCATCATATGACCCCGCCTCCATGACTTTACCAGCACGGTCCTCCTCCTCCTCCTCCTCCTCATCATCCTCGCATCGGTTCCCAAGTGCTCTCTGAAGACTCATGGCAGGCCTGTGTTTATGTTTCAGGTCCTCTTCACTCACATCCCCCTCATAAATACAGTTATTGCTGGTTTGACCTTTGGGGTCAGAGATTCTTTTCTCATGCTCTGCCATGCTCTGCACTGTAGCAGCCGAACTAGGGCTCCTTTTCTCAGCTGTTCCTGGAACATGCTTCCATTTACGATGATCTCAGCGCTATGAAGTTCAAATGGGCGAGGACATCAGGCTATTTAGCTTAGAGATAAATTCGATTTAATGAGGGACGGAATAAACTGATATCTAAGAGAATTGTACCTATAAATACTGCATGTGTCTTTATTATAGTTTAACGGCAGTTCATTGTTTCAACTGCCAAATTAGCAAACACTAAGTTCGAGAGCTATAGTTCTAAATCTTACAGCTATTGTTCTCTAATAACTATGGCTCCAAGAAGAATGGTCAGTTGGTTCCATGGAACCTTTAACACTTTGTGGAAGTGGAAAAAGGTTCTAAGGTGTTCTTTACACTGAGAAAAGAAAAAGTTATTTTAAGAACTCTTGACTGAACCCAAAACGGCTCTTCTATTGCGGTGAACCCACCACCTTTTGGAAACTTTATTTTAAGTGTAGTTTACTTTGTGTCTTGTGTGTACAAAATAAGTTCCAAGCCGACAAGCAAAGCAACTTGTGGACAATATTCTAAGTCTTTTGAAACCATAGGATAGCTCGGTCTGACAAACGGACACAAATTTAAGTGAACATTATTCAAAATGATTGCCCTCTACCACAGTTCTCATTCACACTTCCAAATATTCTAGCTTGGCACTAGAATGTGACATGAAAAAGTCACTAGTCACATATCTGTAAATATTTTGAAAGTTAATGTGACACTGCCATCTTCCTTTGAGCTCCACATAAGGAAGTCAAACAGGTTTACAAGGACATGGGTGCGAGTAAATAGCAGTTTTGCCACTTTGGGGTGAACTATACCTTTAACTGTGATGTCAGATCATGTTAGTCATTCATTCAATGGAAATGAATGGCCCAGATCAGCTGAGGCACTTACCGCTCTCCATCTCATTGCCCTTGTTCTTGGCGGTGGGCGCGTTGCCCATGATTGCAGGCCAGGTATAACAGATCTAAATCGACTTGTCTTGACGCCAACTGTCTTCAGACTCCGTCCCCTTACTGCTCATACGATTTCTGCGTCCGTTGCACTAGCTATGTCTGATCATAACTCGCTGGATCACAGTACGCTGTCAGACCACATCAAGTCTGGAGGTTGATAGTAACTGGTTAGTTGGTTAGCTAGCTAGCGAGCGAGCGCTAGCTAGCTAACAGTAGCTGTCTGGTTGCAGAGCTTCGGTTTTGGTAACGTCTCTCAGCTCTCCTGGGTCGGGTCCGCTGAAATAGCACTAAGAGCCCGTCTTCTTCTCTCGCTCTGCTAACCCTCAGCGAGGCCCTCGGCTTTCCTCTTGAGCGCCACGAGCCCTTGTTTTCACCGTCCGCGCGCGATTCCGGTCGCAGCACGCCGACTTCGCCGCACCTTTTCGGTTGCGTGATCGTTTGCTTGTTTATGTTGATGCAGCAATTCGGTCGTGTGCGCTATGTAGCTCGCATATTTCGACAGTCAGACCCCTTCCATTAATCCTCGATCCACAGCTACAGGGAACTCCTGCTTCAGCGAGACCTACGCGATGCCTATTGGCCGTTACGCTTGTGACGCGCTGGCAGAGTGCGCAGCTGATTGGACAAGAGCTCAGCAAGCCAACGCAGGGAGAGCGATGATTGGCCAAACGCTATCAGTCTGCAGGATTTTATCCCACCCCCGCAAATTGACAAATAACGTAATTATTTTCATTTTATTAACACCGGTTTCTGTTTCGCGTTCCGTCTTTGTAAGCGGGCGCGGTGTTTTGCTTTCTCAATACAGAATCGGTTTCACTCATAATCCTTTGATGGTCCTCAGCGGTGTGTGTTTGTTAGCGAAATGGCCGCGCAAGCCCCGCCCCCTGGACTAATCCGCGATAGGCTGTATGACGTCAAGACGGTCTATTTTTAGGAAGTTGGTCAGAATTTGAAAACGCGAACACCCTACGTCTATGGAATATTAAAACGAGGTCTGCCTTCTGCGAAACAACCACGCTGAGGTCATATACGCAGGTATAAGCATTGCATTTTGGCAACTAACGTTAATGCGCTTGCACTAAAACGCAGTTGTGTGATGCACATGTACGAGCAGGTTGCATGCTTCACTGTGCATAGCAACCGCAAATGCATTAATAATGCCGTGCAAGAACACGAAGAGCAAAACCCACAATGTGACACTAAATTAAACACCGATTTAACAAAGAAAGAAGCTACTTTGAGGTCTTGTCACAGATGCTGCAATAGTCCATGTTGCCAAGCAACAAGCAAGCGGCTTGTCACTCCAGACATGGTGAACTCCTGCATAATGCAACACAACAGCTTTTTTTTTTATGAATGAAAAGGCTGCACAGCTGCATCCACTCTGTGCACAACGCAAATCAAAGTAAAACAACTGCAATGACCATTATCACGTAACAAAACATGTATTTCATTGAGAACTGGCATACAAAAAAGACAGATATATATACACACACACAATATAATACAGTCCCACCTACAAAAATATTGTCTGCTGCAACCTTTTACACAATTTTTCTGATGGCGTCTGCTAAATGAATAATGCATTTGACACCTTGTCTGCTGAGCTGATCTTCCATCCCCTTTCGGTTTGAGAAAGGATCAGTTTTGGATCAAAAGGTTGAAGGCATTAGATGCAGCACATCCTAACACCTAAATCATGTCTTGGATTCATGACTCACCAGCTCTCCATTCACGTTTCGAACTGAAAAGCAAACATGTTTATTGCATACCGGAGGATTTGCCATATTCTGCACACCACTGGTTTATTTCGAATAGGTGACGACTGTAAGAAATTAGATTAATTAGATTAATTTTTATTTCTGATGTGTTTGAATAATCCCGTCTCTCCTCCACAGTGTCCAGATTGACCCGAGCTCACGGATGAGCCTTGAGATGTGAGGATTATTCACAGGAGCCTGCGTCACTACAAACAGTCCATGGAGTTGTCTGGCAGCAGGCCGAGTGGAGGTGCTTTTCCCGGAGTGCAGGATGGGGGCAGCATGCTGTTGGGTGCAGGGTCCACGTTCTCTGAATCCTCCATTTTCTCAGCACATCCCTCCCAGTTGATGTGAAATCTGGTTACACGTGGGTTGGAAGCCAGAATGTTCCTCTGGAGCTGAAAGCAAGCAGATAAAAAGGGCTTTGAATACACACTTTAATTTTACAGGGATGCAAATTCATCAGGGATGAAAAAAGTGACAACACAACACCCCCTAGGGAAAAGTTGTAAAATATATCTTCAAAATGTTTGTTTACAATCAATTTTAGCATGTTGTCTCTGGCCACATTCACGCTTTTGTTTTTATGGAATCCATTCAATGTTTATGAAAGCTTGTTTCTGCCACAGAATAACAAAAATAAAGGTAATTGTAACATTTTATCTGACGTTTTTCATGCAATTCTGAGATAAGTCAGAGATGTGAGATATAAACTTACAATTGCAATACAAAAGTTGTGGGATAAAAAGTCACAATTACCTTTTTAATTAATACATTTTTTATTTTATTCTGTGGCAAAAACAAGATTCTATAAACTGTAACTATAAAATAATAATAGAAATTAATAAATAATAATTGTTATTTTTATTTTATTACATTTCATAAATTAAACTAATATAGAATTAAAAAAATTCACCGTTGTTTTCAATGCAACTCTTTCAATATTACAATACAATAATAATGAAAATTATTATTATTAGCAGTAGTATATTAGTATTAAATTACGTAAATTAAACAAAGAAATATTACTATAGTAATAATAAGACCTTTATTATACAAATATATATTTATTTTACAAAATATTATTTTGTTAATTGAAATCCTAAAGCACTGTGACTTACGGCAGCGGTTCTCAATTCCAGTCCTCTAGTACCCCAGCTCTGCATATTTCGCATGTCTCTCTTTGTTAACACCTGATTCAGATCATCTCGTTAGACGTGAGCTCCGTGCATGAACTGTGTTCCGATTGACATGGTCCCTAGACAGTGTCCCTTGCTCCCTACTCCCTGAGCAGGGGAAATCTGTTGAAGTTTACTTCACTTCGGAGTATTCATTAACAGATTTGCGCTGCGCCGCTGCCTGCAGCGTCTTCACACACAAAAGGAACCTACTAGAGAAGTGTGACATAATATACCTCTGTAAATAAATACAATTTAAATTGTTAACACACCTGATTCAGATCATCTCGTTAGAAGTGAGCTCAGTGCACGAACTGTGTTCCGATTGACATGGTCCCTACACAGTGTCCCTTGCTCCCTACTCCCTGAGCAGGGGAAATCCGTTGAAGTTTACTTCACTTCGGAGTATTCATTAACAGATTTGCACTGCGCCGCTGCCTGCAGCGTCTTCACACACAAAAGAAACCTACTAGAGAAGTGGGACATAATATACCTCTGTAAATAAATACAATTTAAATTCACGTCTTGCACACTTAAATGCCCTTTGTATGGAACATACGCTCCCTTCAAACTGGAATCATGGAGGAATATCCGGTAATGTCCACTTCGCAGGGCACTTACAGTCAAATATAACAAACGTCTGAAGCAATAAGAGAAACACACAAAATGTGCAGAGCAGGGGTACGCGAGGACTGGAATTGAGAACCGCTGACTTACGGTAACCCTCATAATAGTCCACACCTTTTTTGCACCATTTTTATTAGCATTGCTACTAAGGAGTGATATTATGCACTACTCAAATGAACTACAGCTTTTAAACTATTAAAACCCAATGAAATGGCTTTACGAGTACAGTGTTTCGTTCTTGTATTGCCGTACACCATATGAAACAGCAAGTTGGGGCCAGATATATTGAAGAACTCATCTGTTTTTAAAATAACCAATGGCCTTTAGTTTACATAGCAGCCATTCATTTTCTACTTGATATTGGTAGTCCAAAACAGGTGTTATTTAAGTCAACAGTCTTTTCTTTCCTATTATGATATACACTACCGGTCAAATACATACGCTCCCTTCAAACTGGAATCATGGAGGAATATCCAGTAATGTCCACTTCGCAGGGCACTTACAGTCAAATATAACAAACGTCTGAAGCAATAAGAGAAACACACAAAATGTGCAGAGCAGGGGTACGCGAGGACTGGAATTGAGAACCGCTGACTTACGGTAACCCTCATAATAGTCCACACCTTTTTTGCACCATTTTTATTAGCATTGCTACTAAGGAGTGATATTATGCACTACTCAAATGAACTACAGCTTTTAAACTATTAAAACCCAATGAAATGGCTTTACGAGTACAGTGTTTCGTTCTTGTATTGCCATACACCATATGAAACAGCAAGTTGGGGCCAGATATATTGAAGAACTCATCTGTTTTTAAAATAACCAATGGCCTTTAGTTTACATAGCAGCCATTCATTTTCTACTTGATATTGGTAGTCCAAAACAGGTGTTATTAAAGTCAACAGTCTTTTCTTTCCTATTATGATATACACTACCGGTCAAATGTTTGGGATCAGAACGATTTTTAATGTTTTTACAGGAGTTTCTTATGCTCATCAAGGCTGCATTTATTTGATCAAAAATACAGGAAAAAATGTAATATTGTGAAATTGTATGATGATGTAAAATAACGTTTTTCTATTTTAATATACATTAAAATTTAATTTATTCCTGTGACTCAAAGCTGAATTTTCAGCATCATTCCTCCAGTCTTCAGTGTCACATGATCTTCAGAAATCATTCTAATATGCTGATTTATTATCAGTGCTGGAAACTGTTGTGCTGCTTCATATTTTTTGGAACTTGTGATACTTTTTTCAGGATTCTTTGATGAATAAAAAGTTAAAAAGAAGAGTATTTATTTAAAATAGAAATCTTTTCTAACAATATCCACTACAGTTCAAAAGTTTGGGGTCAGTACATTTTTAATCTTTCTTTTTTTGAAAGAAATTAAAACTTTTATTCAGCAAGGATGTGTTCAATTGATAAGAAGTGATAGCAAAGATTGATATTGTTAGAAAAGATTTATATTTTGAATAAATGCTGTTCTTTTTAACTTTTTATTCATCAAAGAATCCTGAAAAAAAGTATCGCACTTTCCCAAAAAATATTTGGCAGCATAACTGTAGCCAACATTGATAATTCTAATAATAAATCAGCATATTAGAATGATTTCTGAAGGATTATGTGACACTTCATACTGGAGTAATGGCTGATGGAAATTCAGCTTTGCATCACAGAAATAAATTATATTTTAAAGGATATTAAAACAGAAACCATTATTTTATATTGTAATAACATTTAGCAAAATTTAAAAAAAATTCTGTATTTTTGATGAAATAAACGCAGCCTTGATGAGCAGAAGAGACTTCTTAAAAAACATTACAAGTCTTACTGATCCCAAACTTTTGATCGGTAGTGTATATCCAAGCTAAATGGCTTATTGAGTGAGATTTTTTTTCTCCTTCCATTTGTCAGGGATTGATTGGATCATAGAAAAGTGGCCATTGCAAGCTAAACAGAAGCAGATCAGAGTGCAAGTGTGCAGTCAGTTGTGGAGTGACAGGTTGCTGGAGAAAAGGGATTAAAACATGTCTGGCCATTGGACAACCTTACACTAATGTTTTTGATTAAAGATTACAAGGTCACATGAATTAAAAAAAACAAAACAAGGACGTTCAAGGATAAATCAATTACCATAAATACTGCAACACTCCATTACATTTACAAAATTTAGTTCCAAAGGTTAGGAACTATCTTATTCTAAACTATTTTTGGACAACAATTTATAGTGAACTTGTGAGTGAAAAATTAGATGATATTTTTTGGTTTCATTTTTGTTATGTATATTTCCTATAGCTAGAACACAGATGGATGAAAAGCTGCAAAACTCTAGAGCAGTGTTTCCCAACCGGGGTGCCGTCTGTCGAGAGCAGGGGTGCATTGTAAAAAATCCTTTTTTAATAAAAAAAAATATATATTTTTACAATCCTAAAATGTTCAAAAAAGCATCTATTATATAATATCCATTTCTGATGTCGCCAATAATTAGAGATGCACCGAAATTTTGGCTGCAGAAAATGAGTTCACCGCTCAGGTTTCACTTTCACGTGGTGTGACGCTCTGCGTATTATCCCGCTCTATGCATTATCCTGCTCTATGCGTGTGTGTATTATCCCGCTCTATGCGTGTGCGCTCCGCTCAGTCGCTCCACTCGTATACCGTTCATGCTCATCGGAACAGTAAAGTCCACTCAAACATTGAGCCGACAGGAAACATCGATGTAGTACAGTATTGTTTCTGTCTGCAATAGCCCTACTGTGTTGTAACATGATGTGGTATATATATGGCAACTCTGGTAACGCTGCCCTCTCATTCATTGATCTGCTAACCGTTATGTTATGCTCACATGTTCTGATAATAATAGCTTTCTAGGACTAAACATTATTTGGATAATTGGTAAAAAAAAAAAAAGTTAAATATCTTAACCCTACTGTTAGACCTACCTGAAAAACTAAAAAGCAATTTATTTAATTCGAAGGCCTGCTGTTATTTTTTATTTGTGCTATCATTATTAATTTCTTTATTTGTTCTTATTTTATCACTGACTGCTTACTTGTCATTTTTTTTATTCAATTCAAAGTTTGAAATCAAGCTATCTCGTGCTACTGCACCAAAATTACCCCACTGTAAAATTCAAAAAACACTGAGCGAGCAAAAATGTGTGAGATAGCTAGTTATAATGGTAATTAAATAATGTTTACATATGTATAAAAGCCTACATTAAAATCGGTCATATAAATTGATCTCTTCAATAGAAATTAGCCTACTGATTGCCACCATTGATGGACAAATTTTTTTTATAATATCTGTATGACATTATATTCTGCAGTTCTTCCCTGTTGTACCGAAGATCTATACTTTTCAAATTATCATATCGAAGTTAGAAATTCAAATACTGTGACAATTAATTTTGTCGGGTGCCACAAGTTTCCAAAAATGTCCAAAGGGTGCCACGACTAAAAAAAGGTTGGGAAACACTGCTCTAGATTGTAAGAAACATGGTGACATACCTGTCCATAGTCAGGTTTGAGGGGCGGATTCTCACGAAGCTCAGTGTCTGTGTACTCATTGTTAACATAGTAGCCAATGCGTATGAACTCCTGTCCTCTGTATGTGCATGTGATCAGAACAACAGTGACACCCACAGCATCACTCTCAGGTATTAGGGCGGTGTTTGGAGCTTCTGCCTGTTGCATGAAAGACAAAAATACCATAACAGAAAGTAATGAGGGAAAGAAAAGTATTACTTTGAATACGTGCATGACTCTAACTGGGTGTAACTGCAGGATAAGTGCAATAATTAGCTTTCTGTGTGTACATTTAATATAGGATAACATTACAGGAATAGTTATCCTATATTAAATGTACACACATAGGACACAAATAGGAATAACCTATAAACCACACTCATGTAGTTTCAAATGTACAACACACAAAAAAAATGTTTACTCATGTTCTGCTAGCTAAATCTAGTTTTGTGTTGCACATAAGAAAGTTAGGCAGGTTCACATAAATGAGTTAATTTCCAAATTTTGAATGTACTACCCCTTTAATTTGAGTCCTTTTATTATATTTTAATAAGAGTTTTGAGTCCTGAAAATGTACAGGTGCGGTTGTCACTCCCATAAATAACCGAAATGTGTGAATGCAGCCGTATGAATAACTCAAATACAGGACTGACAACTTTACTCTGCTGCTGTGCGACAACATGTAATCTTTATAAATAATCTCAATTATAGTTTTGGTGAGATTGTGGCTATAAAAGTACAGATGAAATGCAACACTTTGAAAATAGCTCATTTATACCTTTATTTGTGTTATTTACAAAGTAGAATTGTCCTAGAATATATTTTAAAGGGGTCATATGATGCTGCTAAAAAGAACATTATTTTGTGTATTTGGTGTAATGAAATGTGTTTATGCGGTTTAACGTTAAAATAAAAAACACATTTTCCACATACTGTAGATTATTGTTTCTCCTCTATGCCACGCCTTTCTGAAACGTGTCGATTTTTACAAAGCTCATCAGTCTGAAAAGCAAGGTGTGCTGTGATTGGCCAGGTGTCCAGGATTATAATGACTTATACTGTCTTTTTACATGTTGTGTTGCATCGCGCCGCGTAAACATAAAACCATGTCTGCATTTGTGATCGGAGAAACGACAAACAACAAGCCTACTCTACACTGCCCAAAACTCACGTTTGAATCATCAGTGGCAAATCCTTTAAATATGAAAATGTACTTACAGTCTGTGAGTCAGAACAGCCAGACTGTCCTTGCAAAGTTGGCTGCCCCACTTTACAGAAACTGCCTTTGTGCCACAGACGCATTGTAAGCTACTCTCCCAGGAAACAGTCCTCATCCTTCGTAAAATGTGCTGCACACAGCTGAATATTTGGGTTGAAGTGTTCTGGAACGGTGTTGTAAATACAACTTAACCACTGATTTCTAGTCGTGTCCTCTTTTGGAAGACCAAACAAAGTAGTTTCGCTTTCACAACGAAACACGCCTTCACGACATGGCAGCGGCGGCAGCAACAATACCGCAGCGAGAATAAAAGTTACGTCTTCTTTCTTTGCGTGAACATTTGGGTTATGCAAATCTTCCCACATAGTGACGTAGACATGTGGGGGCGTGTTAGAACGAGCCATTTTAGGTAGGCGTGGTTGACTCTTAACTTTTATAAAGAATATCTCTTTGGATTTGAGACTTTAGTCTTTGCAACTTTACAGATCTTCTTTATGCACCAAGAGCTTGTAACACTCCAAAGAGAAAGGAAAACTTGAAATCGCATCATATGACCCCTTTAAATCGAATGCAAAGCATTGCGTTTTTACTGTTGATAATGATAATCTGTGTTATGATCTCACCTGAAACACAAACATATGTCGGCCTGCAGGAACTGGACCAACCAGGACGGAGTCAAGAGTCTGATCATGCTCTTCACTTTCTGCTGAGCCCACGTAAATAATCTTCCATTCAAGATCTATAACAGAGAAAACAAATACATGTTTATGCAAAAGATCAGACTGTCCCGCATAATGTGTAATTACAACAACTTTTTCCTTCAACTATTCAGAAAAAATAAAAAACTATAACATACACTACTAGCCAAAAGTTTTAAATAATTATGTTTTTAATAATTAATTTTTTTATGTTTTTGAAAGAAGACTTCATGTTGAAAAGTTTTTTTCAACAATTTATTTGTGGAAAACAAAATACACTACCATTCAAAAGGTTGGGGTAAGTCCAGTTTAAAAAAATAAATAAAAACAAAGAAATTGATACTTTTATTCAGCAAGGACACATTAAATTAAATTGCATATAACTGACATTTATGATGTTAAAGAAATAATGTTCTTTTAAACTTTCTATTCATCAAAGAATAAGAATATATAAAAAATATATACTGATTCCCAAAAATATATATTAAGCAGAAAAAATGTTTTCAACACAATAATGAGACATTTTTCTTGAGCAACAAATCAGCATATTAAAATGATTTCCGAACGATCATGTGACACTGAAGACTGGAGAAATTATGCTGAAAATTCAGTTTTGCATCACAGGAATACATTAAAATTGAAAATCTATTCAAATAGAAATAGGGCTGCACGATAAATCGCATATGATATTTAATGCGCATCTTGTCAGTAAAGCCGGTTCTGTAATCAGAACATATATGATCGTGGTTTTGCACAGCTTGTCAGTGAACAACGGCTCTGTGTGTAGTAAATGCTGCTTCAGGTGAAAAGCACGCACATTAGTGTTGTCACGGTACCAAAATTTCAGTATTCGGTACCAATACCAGTGAAAACCCACGGTTCTTGGTACCAAAGCAAAACATGCTAAAAAAAAACATGCTAATTAAATTTTTTTTTTACTATACTTTCATTTAATCCAAACTGTGTACATATTTAATTTTAAAGGGCTTTTGAAAACCTAGAGTTATTCAGCCAATAATAACAACTAAGATAGCTAAAAAACAAACAAACCCAGAACTGCTTTTCTGACTGATATGACACAAACAATGTTAACCATTTGTACGTTCTCTAACACGCATATTTTAGATTCGCAATTCATTTAAAAGCCTCTGGTGTGTAAAAATAGTAAATATCATCATGTCCTCCTGTTTTTCTTTACCCTAATAAAAGTTATAGGAGCATTAATAGTTAATAAAGAAACGTCATTCTAATGCTCATTATATTAGCGTGGGCTTATGCTAACGATTAATTACTCTAATAACAGCAATGTTCATTTCAATCCGACATTCAAATTAAAATATTGAATGATATTCATAACAGAAGCGGTGTTTCCCACAGACTTGCACTCTACTTGTGGCATATGCAAATTCATTTTCTGGCAGCAGGAGGCGCTTGTAAACCGGAAGGGATAGAGGTTTCCCCGGTAACGGCTAACAAATAAGCGCTGCGCTCACAAACGCTGCTTTATCAGGCATTACAGGCAAGATGAAATGAAAATGACATCCATAATTTTCTGAAGACAGTCGCTTTCCTTCAGAAATACAGTGATATAAAAACACCCGCACCGGGTTTCGACTTTGACACATGCAGTGCTCATGTTTATTCAGCGAAGTCCAAGCCTTTTGGAAAATCTATTTGTGGCGGTCAGTTTTGATATTGTGGAGGGCCGCCACAAATAAATAAGTGTATGGGAAGCACTGAGAAGATCTAAATATTAAACATTAAAATGAAACTTACCTGCTTGAACACTTTCATTTGATCTGGGTGTCTGTCTTTCCTCGTTTTGATTTGCTTTTATGAAGAGAGCGCATCTGAGCACCTTTCAGATAGCGCATCAAGAACCGGGTTGACCGGGTACTCTGTACCACTGGTACTTACAAAAAACCTGGTACTGTAACGGTTTCATTTTTTTTTTACACTAACGCACATGATGTAAATTTACTGCCGATTATAGAACCGGCTTTACTGACAAGAATCGCATTTAAAAATCGAGTACCACTGGTACTTACAAAAAACCTGGTACTGTAACGGTTTCATTTTTTTTTTTACACTAACGCACATGATGTAAATTTACTGCCGATTATAGAACCGGCTTTACTGACAAGAATCGCATTTAAAAATCGCATGCGATTTATCCTGCAGCCCTAATAGAAAACACTTATTTTAAATTCTAATAATATTTTACAATATTACAGTTTTTACTGTATTTTTTAATTAAATAAAAATGCATCCTTGGTTGCATGACTAGTAGTAGTGTATGATTTTGTTGGAATTAAAAGTGCAGATTTAACATTTTACATTTAATTTTCTAGTACTGGGTCACACAGCTAAGCAAAGTGATCTGACCTGTATTTATGTACATTTCATCAGGATGTTTCTTGTATTTGATAAATCTATACTGTTGTTCAGAGATCAACTTTTACAAAAATATTACAGAAATATTAACGTTTCTACATGGCAACCCTGTAGCACAGAGGAATTAGAGTAATGCATTGCATTTACTCCTCCGAGTTTAACGCGTTCTCTACCACTGTCTCTACAAGGAAATATATTATTTTATGATTATTAATATATTCTTATGGGTCTAGTCTTTTAATTTGTCGACATTTTATTTAGGCTTATTACAAATAAGGTGCCCAAATGGCCGTGATACAGCTGCCAGAATCAGACTGGCAGCTGCCACCAGCCACTGGCAGGTCACATGACCTGTCAGTGGCAGCTCCTGCCAGCCAGTTGAAGATTGAACCCCCACTCCTCATTTGTGACCCTGGAGCACAAAACCAGTATATCTGTAGCAATAGCCAACAATACATTGTATGGGTCAAAATTATAGATTTTTTTTTATGCCACAAATATCATTAGGATATTAAGTAAAGATCATATTTTGTAAATGTCCTACCGTAAATATCTCAAAACTTGAACTTGAAAACTCCAGGGTCACATTTGAGCGATTTTAATAAATAATATCATCAATATGCATGACTGCAGATAATTATTTGCAAAGATTTTTTTTTTCTTAGAAATACACACAAATAGAAAACGACAACATGAAGAGAGACGATCAGCTTTGGTTTTAACTGAGAAGCACAAAGGATAAATTACAGCTCGGCTTCCTCGCGCGCCATTCTGGCCTCATCTGGAGGAGTTAGCGCGTTAGCTAGCAAGCTAATGAAGAAGCAGAAAACACACCAAAACTCAATCAAACATAATGCTCACCTTCGGGAAGATCCTCCATGCACTCAAACGTTACTTCGAATTGAAACGGGTTTCCAAATGGACTCGGGTTGTCCAGGACAGCTACATTTAACACTTGCACTTTTGCCATAGCTCTAACGTTACTGTAGTAACAAGGAAATCGACACAGTTTACCCCCAAAACAATGCAAGACCGATAAACCGAGAACAAATTCAAATACTCAGCCGACGTTTCAAGTAAAACTCTTAGAAGGTTTGTTTTCACTTCTTAGCTTGCGAGCTATTAGTCGGATACCGCGGACTATACTGTTAAAGCAGGAGAATAGAGACGTCTAGGTTGCCTCTCCTCCCAGATTAAAAGGAAAAAGAATTCAAAATATGACCTAAAGTAACGTATAGACGTAAAACAAATATTATTTCACGAAACCCGTTACTTAAGCTGACAGACAATACAAGCAGCGTTGTCTCCCGCCAGAGCTTTCAGACAGCGCCAGTACGCGTCTCGGAAAGCGGATTGGTTTGTGCGCTGATTGGTCAGTAAACCGAAGGTCCCGGATTCCGCGGACGATGATTGGACGGCAGTGACAGCTGTTATGTGGACGAGCCCTCCTCTGGGTTTGATTGGCTGCATCATCGTTCCCAGCTAAAGTTTAGTTCAGCGGGTGAATGTGTAGTTTATATTATGGTTTTAAAAATACAGAATTATATTTGACTGTTACCTGGGTAGATAGTAGTAAGGAAGCCTATTGGGTAGAAAAAAGAAAATCAGTTGCTGAGTCTTTCAGACGCATATGAACCAGCAAAAGAGGTTTTTTTTGTTTGTTTATGAATTGTGAATTAAATCTGAATTGTGAAAGATGCCAGAAAAATCACTGACAGTCTGCACAGTTTGTAATTGTCTGTGTATCAAATAAACTAATGCAATGACGTTTAGAGGGTTTTGCGGAAAATATTAGGTTATTATTATTAACAAGAACTTCAATTCCATTTCAAGATGAAACAGATAACAGTTATTAATAATTGAATATTACACTCTAAAAAATGCTGGGTTGTTTCAACCCAACTTTGGGTCAAATATGGACTAACCCAACTTTTGGGTTAAAAATGTAATGTAAAAATTTAACCCAAAAGTTGGGTTAGTCCATATTTGACCCAAAGTTGGGTTGAAACAACCCAGCATTTTTTAGTGTGTCTGTGTGTGTGCGTGTGTGTGTGTGCGTGCGTGTGTGTGTCTGTGTGTGTGTGTGTGTGTGTGTGTGTGTGTGTGAGAGAGAGAGAGAAGGGGGCGGGGGTGCTAGTATGTTTACATTTACATTTGCATTATTTTAATCTCTTTATACTTTAATGACAGCTAAAAATAGCTTCGATTTAAAACCTCAAATCAGTCAGAAACACATGCAAACCATCTGACATCCGTGAAATATTCTAATTAGCAAGGACACAAGATTAAAACAGTGCTGATGTGCGTCAGTGAAGTCATCGCTCCGGTGCGCAGGTGCAAGTCTGCGCACAATAGCGCGACTGTCTCGCGCCACAGGTAATAGCTGGACTCAGGTGTTGTAACACGACACTGAACCATGTGATCAGCGATGAGAATTTAGAAAGAAGAAGAACTCAGCTCGAGCATTCACTCAACACTAGTAAATACCAACCGCACAAGACCACCATTGATAGCAGGGCATCTTGAAGGACAATGTATTATTATTATGAGCAGGACGCCGGAGTGTCGAGATAGTTTCGGTTTAAACACTTCATTTCACCGGTAAGGTGAGGCGGAAGCGAGCTACGGGCAGATCTATTGGATATACAGTCTACATATAAAGCTATTCGTCGGGGAACATCGTGGATGATGAAGGTACACACAGGTATTTGTTTTGTAGGAGTTTGTTTCTGTGCCTCATATGGATGAATGTTTCCTTAGCAACACAAATAAGTGGAAGGAATGTGCATGTGGTGGACTGGATAAAGGTTACAGGTTGAGAAATGAAAAATAAAAACCTTTTTCTATTACATATATGGCCAGGGTCAGCTGGTATGTATTAAACACCCAATACATCTGGAAGAAATATTTACTAGAAAAGAATTTAGAGGATCTTTTGAAATGCAAAGGAATAAACATCAAGGGAATGAATCCGTGCATTCGGATAGGCCTATATGTAGGCTATATCTATTTTAAATCCCAAATTTAATTTAGGAGAGCATAATCAAAAAGATTAGGAAGCTAAATGATCTGGTTCCCCACTTGCAGAGGTGGACAGTAGTGAAGTATTTTTTACTTTACTCGAGTAAATTAAAAAAGTATCTGTACTTTTTTTTCCTGAAAGCTTTTATTTCACTACATTCCAAAGCATAATGTTGTACTTTTTACTGCGCTACATTTCATAAATACAGGTTGTTGTTGTTGTTTTACCTATAATACATACGGAACGTTAAAAATGTAATATTTTCTTGCATTCTTTTATAACATTTTGAATTATTTTACTTGAGTAAAAGTAAGAAAGTACTAGATTTCTAATGTAATTAAGTATTAAATTATATTTAATATGAAATGTAGTGAGGTAAAAAGTACAATATTATGCTTTGGAATGTTGTGAAGTAAATGCTTTCTAAAGAAAAACACTCTGATAAAGAGTTTTTATCTGGAAAAATGTCATTTTAAATCAGAGTAAAAATACTTCACTACTGTCCGCCTCTGGTCACTTGTAATTTAGTTATATAACTGTTTTAAACAATGCCAACAATCAAATCAACCAAATTAGCAAAGCAACTTCAGATCCTAACAGACGTTGCTACTCTTCTTTTGCAGCTCGCTAGAGACAGATAGGACTGCTTTAATTCTTTGATCTCGGACATGATTTATTGACCACCTCTGCTCCACCCTACCCGGAGCATCAGCCCCTTCTGGTTGAGGGTAGGGGTGCAGATTGACTCCATCCCGGAGATGATACGGCAGGTTGGGCTATTGGCAGGGAGTTTTCTGCTGCTGCTGCTTCTCAGGAATGTTTCGGCCCAGGGTGAGTCACTCGCTCCACCTCTGCAGTCATGTCCAAAACTGAAATTTGAGAGTAAAGCTCACTGCATTTAAACAGCTCAGTGGAGTTGCGTCAGATTAATCTGAACACAAGAGACGCGGAACACTCCTCTAACTTGTACTTAGTTAGTACAGGACTGTTTCTTGAACAGACAAGCTCAAGCATGTCGAGGTTCCTGCCGAAACATTTACGGTGTTGTTGCAAAGACATAAAATGGTACAAAAAGTACGAGAAATGTGTAATCATAAACCATCAATCTCAGAAAAAAAAGCCCAGATCATATTTCACCCTGAAAATCACAAGAAAGATGTAAGAAATTATATTTTTCTTATAGAAAATAGACCAATTTTAAAGGGGGACTTGCTAAGATTTTTTGTACTGTGACATTATTTTCATGACATGTATAGGTACATTTCAGCCACAAATTCGCATTACTGTAATACAACATGTCCAATTTTTCTCACTACTGTAATGTGAAATACTATGTGTAACGCTTTACGTGTGTGTGTGTGGGTCCAAGGGTCCAATTCTCACTAATAACTAGTTGTTTATTAGCATGCATATTTCTAGCATATTGGCCATTTATTAGTACACTGTAAAAAATGACCGTGAATTTAACGGTAAAAGACTGTAAAAATGCTACAGTAAAAACCTGTTAAATGGTTAACTGTATTAATTTTACGGTAGTATACCGTTTTTTGAAGTGAAATAGAACTTATAATTTACAGTGAATAACCGTAAATTGACATTCCCAGAATTCCCTGCGTTACATTTCAAATTTGATGTTTTTTTGTTGAAATAACTGTTTCTTCTTAGTTTTAAAAAAATCAGTTTTGTATATTAGGGTTGAGTGTTACACCTAATGTTGTTAAATGAATGTTTATTGCATTATTTCAGTTTCATGTGTGTTATTATGATGGTGTTTGGTGTTTGTGTGAATGACACTGTGCACCTTCTATATATGTTATTATTTAAAAGCTGCTTGTGATGGGCTTTGGTTCATCATGTGACTTTCTCCTCACCACCTGCATTTGGTGGTTATCAGTGTATTACAAAGGTGCAAAACAGATTTCAGTACTTCAATAGGTTGGTATATTAACATTATATCAGTTAATGAAATTATGGTATTTAACTGTAAATTTAAGTTAAAACCGTAAAACCTAAAACGTTGCTACTGTATTTTTTACGGTAAAATTCCGGCAACCACAACTGCCGTTTTTTACCGTAAATTTTACGAAAAAATTTGTACAGTGTAGCCTACTTATAAAGCACATATTAATGCCTTATCCTGCATGACCAAATTCTAAATCCCTTAATCCTACACCATACCTAAACTATTAATAACCAGAAAATTGGTTTATTGAGGCAAAAGTGGTAGTTAGTAGTTAGTTAGTTAGAGTTGGTCCCCAAACTAAAGTGTGACCGTATTACTTAAACACATTATTTTGATGTTTGTTGAACAGCCTTTGATGCTGACTTAAAGAAAATTAGAATTTGAGGCTTGGCCATAAAATAGGCGTATTTGTGTAAAATATCATTTATTTGTATTTTTCTTCTCATTTTTGGGATACAACATGTTTTGTGAAATTCATTCATGAGTGGGGCTAAAAATGGTCATGCATAAAATAAATTTACTGTGATACACATGCTTCATGACTTGTCTTGCAGCAAGTTTCTTTGCTTCTTTAAAGTAATCTTTGCACTTTTGCCCTTGAGGGATTATTTACTCATGTAAATGATTAACATTTTTGCTTTTTTATATGTATCCTCCCTCTCTCTCTCTTTCTCTCTGTCGATCTCTCTATATCATGTGTGTGTTGTCATAGCGTTTAAACATTACTTTTAATCATCAGTTTGCAAGTGTAACATTTATTTTCAATCAAGTCAGCAGTTTGTACCATTATTTGTTCTCTGACCTTCAAATGCACATTAGTTTGTCAAAGTCCAAACTCGAGATTTTACAAAGTTGCCAAATTTTGAGATTATTTGGGGTGTGAGGGATTTGTTGTTCCTTACAGAATTGAGGCTAAGTATGGGACCAGCTGCTACTTTGCTTTTTTTAATATTAAACAAAGAGACAATTATAACGATGTATAAAGTCATTTATTTAAAAATGTGAGAAAGTAGATCTTACGCCTGGAGACAAAAACATTTGCTACATGAAAAATGGCATACAAACAAATGATTAAACCTGGACAGTTTTGAACAGATTAATTAAAACACACAATTTAAACTATAATTCATGAAAATGAATTAAGCCTACTAACAGCAATTGCCATTATAACGCTCTCAGGAAAGTCCAAACTTGTATAATGCTGCTGTTTTTAGAAAAGCTAATGGCCAAATAACTGAGACGTTCATAATGTTGAAGATTCAAAATGCTAAATCACCAGCAAAATCATCAATGCATATACAGTGTATATAATATCATCCAGTCAAAATGATTAAAGACAATGTAATTATTTGACAAGTGCAGTTTTATTTACTGTGTAGAATAGATGTATTGCCTATAGAAACAGGAAGGGGAGATATGTTGATTTTTATTATTTTTCTAAACAGTCATTATCCTTTAGTTTATATTTGTGAACTGGTCATTGCTTTTGGCTTATTCTGTGGAATTACGAGGGAGGACATTGTAGACAACAATTTGAATGTGAAAGATAAGCCATTAAATATTTTGGCCAATTTTCCCAGAAGAAACGTATATGCTAAAAGTGTATTTTGTCAACTTTTAGAATTGCACTAGGATGTAGATGAATATGGAATTACACAACAAGATTTAACTTAGTCACTCTCAACTTTTATTTTGTTTTCAAGATCCAGATTAAAAAAAAAAAAAAACAGTACACACATACTGAATGTTAGGTGCTGGGTTTCATAATATTGCTGTAAATCATTTAAATTGCGAGATTACACCATCACAGTGCAGATGTATCACAGTTTACACCATTCAATGTGGAAAAAGCTCAGGATCCTCTTTCATTAACATTTACTTCTCATTCTCATATCTTTGTTTCTTTTTCTCAGATATATAGCCTTCACAGTGAGCTCTGTGACATAGGTGCGCACTGCGCAGCATAGTGATGTGACTTGAAATGATACCGACACCTCAAATAAAATATTAAAGAACCAAAACATGCTACTTTGAGCTGCAACACTGTCATTAAAGAACCATGCAAGATTTGTGAGGCATAGGACGAGTACCAAAATCATATTAGTGTCTGTAGATCACAATTAGTTGTCATCTCATTGTAATGTTTTCTGTTTGCAGTGGAAACGACCACAGTGCCCAATAGCACTACAACTCCCAGCCCAGTAAGTAGAAATTCTCCTGAAGTGTAGTCAGGTGTTTATTTCCCCTTATTAGCATGAAGCCCATCGTCTGTCTAGAAATGAAAAGTGTTGTTTATTTCTCTTATAAGTATCTGATCAACTATTGGCCAATATACTCTTCGTTTGATCTTTAAGAAACATAGTTTCCCACATTTGAGAATAAGAAACTGAATCTTGAATGAAGATTTTTAAAAATGTTTTGAAATAATTTTCTTATGTTCACCAAGGCTGCATGCTTTGATGTTTGATCAAAATACAGCAACATTGTAATATTGTGAAATATTATTACAATTTAAAATAACTGTTTTCTGTTGCAATATATCTTCAAATGTAAGTTATTCCTGTGTTCAAAACTGAATTTTCAGCATTATTACTCCAGTCTTCAGTGTCACATGCTCCTTCAGAAATCCTTCTAATATGCCGATTTACTGCTCAAGAAACATGTATTATTATTATCAATGATGAAAACAGTTGTGCTGGATAATATTTTGTGGAAACACTTTTAAACACTTACTTGGTGAATAAAACTATGAATTTCTTTAAAGAAAATAACAGTAATAATAATAAAAATCTTTCTGACTTTTATGTTTATAGGTAATTCATACTGATTGATAAAAAATACTGAACATATTATTAAAAAGTATGCATTTCTTTTAATTTCATTCCATTTTACTATATCCTCTAATTGAAATGTTTACTGCATGCGGTAACACTTATCACTTTTCAGTGGCCTTAATAACAGTAGATTATGCATAATTACATGCAACTAGCCCTAAACCAAATGTCAACCCTATAGTAAGTACATGGTGTTATTAATATTATTCAGCATTTAAAAATATAATTACACTGTAACAAGGACCACTTAAAATAAAGTTTAACCCTGGATCTTGTTTGCTACCTCAGTTCAAACTAAGGAATTTTATTACAATTCTAAATTGCCTTGGAATAAAAACATATCACAATATCTGATTTCTTTATGCCAATCATGTTGTACTGCTCCAGTTGATTAACATCCATACTTTTCTTTGTCCAGGACCAGGGCCCTAATATTGTGGCCATTGTAGTACCAACTGTGGTCGTGGGACTGCTGGCTATTTTGGCAGCTGTTCTGGTGTTTCTGTTCTGCGTGGTAAAGAAGAAGAGACAGACGGAAGGGGCGTATCGACCCAGCGCAGAGGAGCAGTCAGGAGCACGTAGTGTTGAGACGCCTGACGCTCTGAAATTACCCAAGGAGGAGAGACTGATTTGACAAACTGGTTTATGACTAACCAGCAGCACATGATAATAGTGACTCAATTCCAAAACGGTTAAACAGATAAACATTAACTAAGGACCGTTTTTGAAGGCACAAGGCACAACTGTGTTTTGGCTAAACAAAGTGAGTCTGACTACTTGGAAGAAACTTGAAGGAACAGATCCTCTCTCCAAAAGGCCATATATTTCACAGTACAGATCATCTAGCATTTCATGCCATTTTAGACTGGTAGCTTTTCTCTGAATACGTCATTTTATGTTGTGTTACCTGTTTTAATGGTTGCTTTACACATACAAATGCTGATATTTGTATGTAGATATTTTTAAAGGGGAAGTGTGTAATTTCTGCACCCCTAGTGGCACAAAACAGAATTGCAGTCTGTTTTGCATTCAAAATGGGCCAGACTTAAAGGGATAGTTCACTAAAAAAAATTACCATTCTGTCATCATTTACTCACCAAGTTGTTCAAAACCTGTATGAGTTTCTTTCTTTTGTTGAACAGAAAAGAAGTTTTTTTAAAAAAATGTTGGTATAACCAAACAGTTGACGGTAGCCATTAGTATGGGGGGAAAATACTATTGAAGTTAATGGCAACCATCAACTGTTTGGTGACAAAATGATGACAAAATGTTCATTTTTGGGTGAACTATCCCTTTAACAGCATCAGCTCAACCAATGGTGTGAATTTGAGGGCGGGACTATCTGTTTGACTGAATAATGGAAGCTGGCTGCATTTGAAACTTTAAATTTAACATTTTAATTTTAATTAGTCATCAATTTTTCATTTCTGTTTGTTGGCACTAGATTATGCACTCTACACCTTTAAATATTTATTCAAATCAATTTGTTCACAATATAGGATGTTCATAATCTCATATCTGGTATGTTTGTTGAAAACCACTTTTCACAAATTATTTCAACGGCTGTATTTGTCTAGATTTACCTCAGTAATGTTTCCTTATATATATATATATAATTTAATCTAATATGAATTGTCCAGAAATTTGATCAGTGCAACAATGGATTCTATTTGGAATCGTTTTTGATTCTTTTATCATAGCATGGATGTTTACACTCAAATATTTCATGCATTATGTTTCACTGGAGTGCCTTTTCAAATGTCACCGTTTTAGAATCTGCTAAATCGTGCTGTTTTTAAATATAAGATTAAAAGGCACAATGGTCATGCTATATTGTGAATATAATCACTGCTAATGGGTTTTGTTAGGCACAACACTCAGAGTTACTATATTTACAATACAGCACGGCCTCAGGTGCCTTTGCTTTTATAAAATGGTTGTTCCATGTTAAAAATATTGAGGACAACACAAATTTACATTAAAACATTATTTTATTAAGCTAATTAATTAAGTGTTATTCTGAAGATACAGTCTCTAATATAATAGAAAGTTACTAGCAACAAAACAATTTGCCGTGCCCTATTATAGTCTATTCTATATTGTGGAATTTAGCATGACTACGCGCTGCTTGTCTTCTGTCTTCTGTTTGTATTTCCACAGCGTGAAAGGTCATACAAATGTATAAATGAACCACTCATTTTAAAATCTTCCCAGTCTACTTATATTTGATATTACATCTGTACAGAGCTACCGCAAAAACGGATGTTCAAAGACAAAATTAAGATGGCTGCGCACTTGTTTCTCTGATGGATAAGGTCTATTTTCCTCATCAGAAGCCAAAATAGTAATATTTATTTTATATGTATTTTTAACGTATACATTTTTTAAATATTCGATCCATATTTTTATAGTGGGTACTGCTATTTTGTAACGTGAATGCTCAAGGCTTTTGTCCGTTCCGCTTGATGTTGCAAACTGGTAGCCTGTACATTATATTATTTTATTATCGTAATTGTAACAACCCTGGTTTGTAGTGCAAACAGATTTACTGTTTACTGTTTTTCTTCTAGTTATTTGGCTAGCAGCTATAATGAATCAGATGTCTTGCACATTCACAGAAAATAGACTAGCTTACTTCTGCGTTGGAAGATAAGGTGGCAAATAAGGCCTTTACCCCAATCCACAAACATTGGTTGAAAATTTGTAGCTGGGTAGGTGTTGGCTACTTTGAAATTTTATGACATTACATAAATATCCTATGAGTGTTGACACTACGATAATATCTGGGTGTGCATGGAGGAGTGTCTTTCTTAAGAAGCGTAGGACAGCATTGCTTAAGGCTGTGTCTCACAAATTTGCTTGCCAAGAGCTTATTGTGATGACTAGATCTAAAAGCATGCTCAGTTTATTGTTTTCAGGAACACTGCTCTCTAGTGGTCTACTTTGTCTTTCAGGCAGTTGTTTTATGCTGCCATTTTCTTTGGTTTGGCAAAATACAATAGCAACAATGACATGCTGTGCATTTGAATGATAATATCAGGAAGCTAATAACAAATTAATTTATTTTCAATTTAGTCTTTTTGACTTCAGGGCCCCAAACACTGACAAAGACAATATTCAAAGGCCCCAAAAAGTGGCCTTATAGTGGCAATATATTAAATAATTAAATACATAATTTTGAAGAATAAAAAAAAAAACTATTCTAGTTGTTTGTCATTTCTACCCAAATGAAATATTTTAGAGCTTGACATAACTAGAAAAAAATTTATATTTATTCCCTCATATATCCAAGTTTTCCAAGACCACAAGAACCATGGTTCATAAATAAAAATGACAGTTGTTGAGGGAACAAAATAAGATAAGAAATATGTCTGCTCACGTTTTGGTTGTCAGCTGTTTTAGCTCATTTTATAGGTTGTTTTGTCTTATTTTAAATAATTTAAGCCATCCTGTGTCCACCACTAATGTTAATTAAAACATTCATGAAACCCTCTGTGACATTCGAAAAAAACAACAATTCTGATGTAGTAGTTGCCTTTATTCAGATTGACACTGACACCAGTTACATCGTTCTCAAATCCAAAGGCTTCCCAGTTAAAATCACTTGCATTTCTCTTGGATGTGAGGGGGATTTGATGGCGCGCACAATATTCAGAAACACAAAACCAAACCAAAAGTTCACAATTCCTCAAAATGTCTTGGGGGGGGGGGACTGTCATTGAAACCCATTCATTGTTCTGGAGAGCACTGGTTTGTGGTGAGAAGGATGAAATATGGGGGATGGAGTGGTAGGGACACTTTCGCCAGGCGGTTGCGATTTAGGCGACCTCCTCCTCGCCCTCCTCTTCGAACTCGCCCTCTTCGGCGGTGGCGTCTTGGTACTGCTGGTACTCGGACACCAGGTCGTTCATGTTGCTCTCGGCCTCAGTGAACTCCATCTCGTCCATGCCCTCGCCGGTGTACCAATGCAGGAAAGCCTTGCGCCTGAACATAGCGGTGAACTGCTCTGAGATTCTCTTGAACAGCTCCTGGATGGCAGTGCTGTTGCCAATGAAGGTGGCTGCCATTTTGAGCCCGCGGGGTGGGATGTCGCACACGGCGGTCTTGACGTTGTTGGGGATCCACTCGACGAAGTAGCTGCTGTTCTTGTTCTGGACGTTCAGCATCTGCTCGTCCACCTCCTTCATGGACATGCGTCCGCGGAAGACGGCGGCCACGGTCAGGTAGCGGCCGTGACGGGGGTCGCAGGCGGCCATCATGTTCTTGGCGTCAAACATCTGCTGAGTGAGCTCAGGAACGGAGAGCGCGCGGTACTGCTGGCTGCCTCGGCTGGTGAGGGGAGCGAAGCCGGGCATGAAGAAGTGGAGACGTGGGAAGGGCACCATGTTTACGGCCAGTTTGCGGAGGTCAGCGTTGAGCTGGCCAGGGAAGCGGAGGCAGGTGGTGACGCCGCTCATGGTGGCCGAGACGAGATGGTTGAGGTCGCCGTAGGTTGGTGTGGTGAGCTTGAGGGTGCGGAAGCAGATGTCATAGAGAGCCTCGTTGTCGATGCAGTAGGTCTCGTCGGTGTTCTCAACCAGCTGGTGGACGGACAGCGTGGCGTTGTAGGGCTCCACCACAGTGTCGGACACCTTGGGCGAGGGCACCACGCTGAAGGTGTTCATGATGCGGTCGGGATACTCTTCGCGGATCTTGCTGATGAGGAGGGTGCCCATGCCGGAGCCAGTGCCTCCGCCGAGAGAGTGGGTGAGCTGGAAGCCTTGCAGGCAGTCGCAGCTTTCTGCTTCCTTACGAACAACATCCAGTACTGAGTCCACCAGCTCTGCTCCTTCTGTGTAGTGACCTTTGGCCCAGTTGTTTCCAGCACCACTCTGACCTGCAATCATTAAAATGTTGCGTTGAAAGTCCCGTTCAAGGAAAGTGTGTTCACTTGGTGGCCATATTTGCAACGTCTTCATGCTTGAATGGCGAGATCCAAACTTGCATTTGCGTAACATAAATCAAACAAGCAACAAAATCTGGCACATGTTGGCCCACAAATGCTATTTCTTGTGCTAAATAGTATTAAAAAAGTTTTTCAGGTTGGCAAAGCCAAAGCGCAACCAGAGCTTCTAACAGCAGCTGGTGATGACTTTACCAACTGGCGATTGGCTCTTTTTTTAGAAAATAGGACGTATTGCACCATATTGTGTGTTGAACTTTCTCCCATTCATAATATGAGTGCACCATCTTTGTATATCTAAAGTTTCACTAAAGTTAAAGTTACATTTGACATCCACCATGTCAAATTTGAACTCCTTCTAGCATCCAACAGAAGACACCATTTAATTGCTATCAGTGTGGATTCATACCTACTAAGTGTGAAAAATTATACTGTAGCAACACATGGTGGAAATAACAAAGGTAATGGAAAAAACATTTGAGGAATTATTAGCTTACCAAACACAAAGTTGTCAGGTCTAAATATCTGTCCAAAGGGTCCAGAACGAACTGAATCCATTGTGCCAGGCTCCAGATCCACCAAGATGGCACGGGGAACATACTTCCCACCTAAACAAAAAGATGGATACAGTAGGTCATACTAACAAGACATTTGTTTCAGTGTGCATGCAAATTTCTGTGCACATACAATGATGTTTAAAAATCTGAGACCGCAATGTTGGCTGACATTTTGCATAACTAAAAACTATACAAATCAGCATAATTTTTGACAATGAATTTGGGAAATTTGAATAAATGGTCTTTGTGTCCTCCTTTTGCTGTAATGATAGCAGCACTCGAGCTGTGTGAAGTTCCTAATGATCTAATTATCATGTTATCCAACATGATTTGAGAATGATTCAAAGAGTATCTGCTTGGTTTTTCTTTAGTGCAAAGGAATTTACAACGTGACAATTTTGCTTACCTTTCATTAGTGACTATAAAATAATTATAGTAATTATAAATATAATTATAATTACAAACTGTTGTCATAGAAATTAAAATCTGATAACTTAATTTCCACTTTTACAGTGTTATTTTAGAATGATTTGTATACTATTATATTTTTTATTCATATTTTGAATGAGCTTTTATTTTTATAGATTCAGATTAATTTATAGTAATTTATTAGCTTTTGTCATTTTAGTTAATCTTATTTTAGTTAGTTGCCAAGGCAGCGTTTCTCATTTTGATTTTATTTATTAGTTTTTCTTCTAATAATTATTTATTATTATTATTATTATAATTGTATATTTTTTTTGTTTGTTAGCCATAAAGACACTGCTTTTACATCCCCGAATTTCAATGTAGCCTCAGACCTTTTCCACTATATATTTATGCTGTCACCAAATATGATATTTATTTAAATATTGCATAAAGTTGCGGACAATTATTTCTTATGCAAACTTCATGATATTTAAAAAATACCTGTGGCTTCATTGTAGTAAACACTGATCCTGTCTAGCTGCAGGTCGCTGTCTCCATGATATGTTCCGGTTGGATCAATGCCGTGCTCATCGCTGATAACCTCCCAGAACTGAGAGAGAGAGAGAGAGAGAGAGAGAGAGAGAGAGAGAGAGAGAGAGAGAGAGGGGGGCGGGGAGGGAGAGGGAGAAAAAAAAAAAAAAAAAAAAA